GAGTTCTGTAGGTAAGTTTTTTCAAGGTCCCTTGTTCTTGTGTTTGCTTTATTCATAGTTTTGTACAAGTTGTGATTCAATTGGATAAACCTATTTTCTTGGATGAAAGCTTATAAACTTGTTCTTATATGTGCTATCAGAGCCATAAGGCTTCAATCATTGAGTTCAACTTGTAATTAATCAAAAGGTTGCATAAAAACTACATTGTCTGGGTTTCGAACTAAGCTTTAGGGTTCTTAGAAATTTATAAACAAAATGACATTGTTTAGTTTATAAATATAACCGTTGAAATAGGAAGAACAAAACGGTGTTGTTTTAAGTAATATTTAAATAACGGAAATTTTTACCGTTGGGAAACTGGGTTTTGTGTCTTGATGGTGTTCTTCGGGAAAGGGCTTTTGTTCTCTGTCCTTTAAAGAGTTTTTCTTCAATTATCGCCCACCTAATTAAGTCAAGATTTTACAGTGCAATTGAATGATGTGTTATATGTGCCTAAGATGAGAAGGAATTTGGTTTCTACATCAAAACTGGTTAAACAAGGCTATGTTTTTATAGGAGATGATGAATGTGTCAAATTTTTCAAAAAGGGTACACTGCAAGGAAAAGCATTTTTGCATGATCACCTTTGGAAAGTACAATGCACTGTGGATTTTGAAAAACTGCATGTTTTAAACACAGCAACCAAACAGATGCATAGTATTGATCAAACCTTCATGCTTTGGCACAAAAGATTAGGACACATTTCAAAAGAAAGAGTTTTCCAATTATCAAAACTAAACTTCATCCTTGCTATTAGTGAGAAATCAGCAATTCTTGAATGCTTCAAAGTCTTTAAAAGTGAAGTTGAAAAGTAGTTAAATCATGTGATTAAAATTGTTAGATCAGATAGGGGAGGAGAATATTTTAGCAGGCACATAGAGGCTGGGCAGCAAAAATGTCCATTTGCTGATTTTCTTGAAAGTCAAGGGATTGAAGCACAATATACTACTCCTGATACCCCCACAACAAAATGGAGTGGCAGATAGGAGAAATAGAACCCTTATGGAAATGGTGAGAAGTATGATTTCAAGGTCCAAGCTTCCTAGTTTTCTTTAGGGAGAAGCTTTAAAAACTGCAAATTACATCATCAATCGAGTACCATCTAAATCTGTTCCAAAGACACTTTTTGAATTACGGAATGGAAGAAGGCCAAGCTTTAATCACTTCCATGTATGGGGTTGTACGGCAGAGGCAAGATTTTACAATCAAAATGAGAAGTTAGATTCAAGAACATCATCATGTTTCTTCATTGGTTACTCAGAGAAGTCCAAGGGTTTTAAATTTTATTGCCCATAAGCACACACAAGGATTCAAGAAACTCACAATGCTATTTTTTTTTTAGGATGAAGATGTGTTCGACTTAACAAAAAACGAATTTATATTTGAAGAAATAGAACAGTAAAACAATTATTCCTCACAAGTGAACTACAATCAAGTGCCTGTGTTCCAAAGGTCTCAGTCATCAAATCTAGACCTTAATGAGGACATGGCAAAACCTAAGGATGGAAACATTGAAAATTCAAATATTGGGGATCGAGTGGGAGTTGAGCTTCAACAAGAACAAGATCTCAATGATCAAGTTACAGAGACTTTGATTGATCAACCACAAATAAGGAAATCCAATAGAGTGAAGAAATCTGTGATCTCAAATGACTGTGTATCTCCAAGAGACAGAATTTGATTATGGTGATATTAATCCTTTAATTTATCAAGAAGCAATAAAGAGTCCCCAAGCAGTTCTATTGCAACAAGCAATGACAGAAGAACTTGATTCAATGTCTAAAAACAATGTTTGGTCTTTAGTTAAATCATCAACTAACATTAAGCCAATTGGATGCAAATGAGTGTTTAAAACCAAAAGAGATGTTGAGGGTAAAATTGAGAGATACAAAGCTCGATTAGTTGCAAAATGATTCACACACAGAAAGGGTGTCGATTACAATGACACATTTTCACCTGTTTCTTCCAAAGATTCAATGAGAGTTATCATGGCATTGACAACTCATTTTGACTTGGAATTACACCAAATGGACGTGAAGACTGCATTCTTGAATGGGGAACTCAATGAGGAGATTTTTATGTCTCAACTTCCTAGATTTGTTGAAAGGTGGAATGAGGATATGGTATGCAAGTTGAACAAGTCAATCTATGGTTTGAAACAGGCCTCAAGACAATGGTTTCTAAAATTTGATCAGGTAGTCACTTCACAAGGATTTTTTGAGAATAAGATAAATGATTGTATCTATCTTAAGTTCAAGGGATCCAAGTTCATTTTTCTTGTCTTATATGTTGATGACATTTTGCTTGCAAGCTTGGATGTGCAACTGTTGAAAGACACTAAAAACATGTTGAGTACAAACTTTGAAATGAAGGACCTTGGAGAAGCTCATTATGTTTTGGGAATTGAGATTATGAGAGCTAGAAGACAGAGATTCTTGGTTTATCTGAAAAAGGCTACATAGAAAGGGTACTTAACAGGTTCAATATGGAGAGTTGCAATAAGGTTGATGTTCCAGTAAACAAGGGAGACAAGTTTTCCCAAGATCAATGTCCCAAGAATGAACTTGAGGCTAAGATAATGAAGATGAAACCATATGCTTCATTAGTTGGTAGCCTTATGTATGCCAATATATGTACAAGACCTGACTTGGCTTTCATTGTTGGACTTTTAGGAAGATTTCAATCAAACCCAAGAAAAGCTCACTGGGTGGCAGCCAAGAAAGTGTTAAGGTATGTGCAAAGGACTAAAGGGTTCATGCTAGTTTATGGACAGATCGATCATTTGGAGTTGATTGGAGTTACTGACTCGGATCTTGCTAGGGATGTGGATGAAAGGAAGTCAACTAAGGGATATATTTTTAAGCTAAGTGGAGATGTTGTGTCATGAAAAAGTGCTAAGCAGACTATAATGTCAACTTCAAATATGGAAGCTGAGTTTGTAGCCTGTTTTGAAGGAATGAAGCAAGCTGTTTGGCTTAGAAATTTAATTGCTGATATGAGGCTTATTGATTCAATTAAAAGGCCTATAAAAATGTTCTGTGACAATAATGTTGTTGTGTTTTTCTCAAAGAATAATAAAAAGACTTCAACTTCGAGGTTGATGGATGTGAAATTCCTTAAAGTTAGAGAAATGGTTAAGAAAGGGGAAATTGATATTCAGTATATGTGTACTGGTTCAATGATTGCGGATCCTCTTACTAAAGCCTTGCCAAATAATGTATTTAAGGAACATGTTGCACAGATGGGGGTCTTGGAATCTTTTGACAAGTGGGAGTGAATTACTTTGAAATTGGAAGATTGTTGTGATGTTTCATCAGCATGCAGAGGCATTAAGGCAGTAGGTCTTCACAATTAGGTAGTTGTTATTGTTGAGATTGATAGTATTTGTTTAGCTAGTTTTATCAACTTATTTTGGTTTTCAATAATGTTCAATTCTTCCAGTTATGTGATGAATTGTTCCAGAAAACAAGTTTGTTTAATAATAGTAAAGTTTGCTAGTGAATTGATTTTTGTGGTTTTACTGAGGCATACTTGTTACTGTTATTGTTGTATTGTTTTAGTTGATAAGATTGGTTACTAATTGAGGTCTTAACGCTATTGAGTTAAGAACTGGTTTATATGAGTGGGAGTAGTGCACTCTATGCTCCTATGTTTTAGTTCACATAAGTGTTGAATGCATATTGGATATGTAGTGATTGATGAATTGTTTCTGTAATGTACAAATCAGATTCTTGAGTCCCATATTCTAAAATGCATGGCTATGAAGTATATGAATAAGAGTTTTTGATTAAGACTTAGTGATCACTTCTGTAAATCTTAATAAACTGGTTGTTTGTGTTTCATACTCAAGTGGGAGAATGTAAGAATATGAGTATGAAGCATATACTCAAACCAGTTATAGTGTTTGAGATTGATATGGAAAATTCTTGGTTAAAGCTGTTTTGGTTATCCTTATGGTTTCAGGATAACATAATTGAATATAGCCTGATTCTTTTGGAATTGAAATTTAGTATTGGAGTTATATTTGGACTTATGGTTCCTTATGGTTTGTATAGTTTGAATCCTAGACTCATTCTAATAGGGAATAGTCGAAGGAACACTATGTATAGTTCAAACCATTGCTCTTGCAAAAACACGGTTCATTTAGTCCAAGACCTATTGATTGGAAGAGCCATTGGTTTTGTAAAAGAGGAGAAGGTTTTGAACACAAGAAGCTGCAATGGCTTCATCATCAAGTCTGAGTTCTGTAGGTAAGTTTTCAAGGTCCCTTGTTCTTGTGTTTGCTTTATTCATAGTTCTTTACAAGTTATGATTCAATTTTCTTGGATGAAAGCTTATAAACTTGTTCTTACAATTTTATCATGCATATAATGATACAAATTTCCATTTCTATTTCAAAGAAAGCACAATAGTGTTATAAAAAGGAAAGCTTCGGCATCGGTGTTTATGTCTTTTTCTTCAACTTATTGTGTTCCGAGTTCAAAATTTCTCTTTTTTTGTGTAGATTAGAGTAAATTATTGTTTGCAATTAAAAAAAGTTAAGGGAAACTAGATTTGGAGCACCTTGCCTAAATGATGCCCGACACTTGACAACACGTCCACGTCACTTTACAAACTTACCTAAATTGGAGACACTACGCCACAACTCCGCATCTATCACAGCTAATTGACCACGGACCTATAAAGCCCGTTATAAAAAGCCACATTTAACCACGGTCATTTAAAGTTCGTGGTAAATTAATAATTTTAACAACGGACACAAACAAACCCGTGGTTGAAATGGTTAAAATAACAACGTGCTTTTAAAGCCTATTGTAGTTAGCTAAATATTACGATGAGGAAAATCCGTGGTTGGAAAAAGTTTTAATAACAGCGCCTTTTTAAATATACCACATGCAGTAATTGTTAACTTGATAATTTAAATTTTTTACTTTTTAATCAACCACTATAATATTAGACGCTCAAATTTCAGATATCTATCGAACCCTATTTACAGTTTTCAGATCAAACGCTATCAACCACCAGATCTCATCCAATTCGCTTATGTCGACGATTTTTCGTCCCTAAACTACGGAGATGAAGTGCTTCCTTTCTCGAGATGTGGAGGCGCGAGAAGGAGGAGAACAATGCGGTTTTCTCCTTCTTCCTCTGAAAAAAAAACGCCGACGAGCTCGACGTTATTGCCGATGCTGCTGCTCCTCCGTGTACGACGGCGTTTGGATTTCTTGTTTTTAGTTTAAAGTTTCGCTATTTGTTAGTATTTTTGGGTTTTTGAGGTTGGTTTTGATGGTGGGTTGTGTTTGGTTTCTGCAGATTCTGACACTGCGTAGGCGCGACGGTTTCTAAGACTGTTAGAGCGATGGCGCCGCAGGGGAAAATTCGGGTGGATGAGTTTTGAATTCAGAGGATGAGAAGTCTGATTACGACTGGTGAGTAAACTATTGTCAAGTTTAAGTCTTTGATTTTATGCTTATTTTTGGTGGGATTAAATTTTCTTAAGACTAATCGAAGTTTTAAGTCTCTGGTTATGATAACTTGTTGAATTAATGAAGAAAATTGTTGGGTTGCTAAATTGGGTGGGATTAATTTATCATTGGACTAATGAATCGTGATGAAATTAATTCTGGGGCATTGATTTAAACAAATTGCATAATGGGAGTTTAGTGTTCCTGCATGATTATGTTTGAATTATAAGAGTAAAAGAACAAACTCGAGAGTCTGCATGTGGTGTATGTTTCTTTATGTTTTGTTATACTGCCACATTGAATTCCAGGATCAGGGTTCTTTATACTGCCACATTGAATTCCAAGATCATGTTGCAGAGAAAGGTTTTGGTTGGAAGAGTTGTGCTATAAGGTATTGCTATCTTTCTTGTTTGTACTGTAGTAAATGATATTTCTATCATAGCGTACAGGACGAGTTGACTACCTAAGTGTTATCTGGAGAAGCAGGATTAAAGTTGATTCCTTTGCTGGATGTTGAATAAGAGTTGGTATGTACTGTATCTAATGCTAAATGAAGTTAAAATGTTCCTTGACTCTTTGGTCCTTATAATTTCAGGTGCTACTAGAGATTGCTTACCAGTTACAACTATGCTAAATCAATTGAAGAGTGGGGTTCACTCTGCAATACACACTGAAGGTTCACGGTCCTTCAACCGAGAACTGAAAATTTTGATTGCAAGGTTTGGTGAACCGTTGTCTTGACCTTAACATAGTATGGTAAATTACTGTAATGTAAGCCCCGTGAAAAACTTTCCTCTCTCCTCTCTCGCTCTCCCTCACACACACATAGAGGAAGACATGCCCATTGATCTTCATATGCTTGATACTTATACTTATACATGATTACTTGCCTTTTGTCTAATTGACTTTGTGAATTTGAATTGTTTTGTATATGATGTCCTTAAGTGATGATTTTTTATTTCTAAGCTTTATATTTTTCCTTGTTTATCTCATAGGTGGTTGGTGGTTCTAATTCATGAGGGTTTATAACTCAAATATCAACTAATACATTTACGGATTTCTGCAAATTTGAAGTGTGGTTGGCTTGCTGGAGATGTGTCTTCTTGAAGAAATGATTGCAGAGAAGATGAATATCATTGGAGGACCAAGGTTGGAACTAGGACTTGAGTTTGTTTTAGAGTGAAACAAAGTCTACATGTTTTGGTACACAACTGTAGCATAACTCGGTGATTTGGTATTCTTAATAGAACTACTCATTTTGTTGTTAACTTTTAGTGTAATATTTGAATATGTGAATTTTTATAAATTAAATATGCAATTTTGTACATAAATATTTATTTGTTTATTGATTAAATAATTTTTTATTTTTTATTTTATTTTCGGAAGTTTATATAATGGGCATTAGCCGTGATCAATTGTAATCCACAATGGCCATAACACATGGTATTAAATCCCAATCTATTACGGGCACAATTCGTGGTTACATTGCATATGACAACGGGCATAGCCCGTGGTAGAAACAAAGACTTTTTATCATATCCAGAATACTAACGGGCATTATGTCTGTGGTAGATCGTGATAGATGAACTGTTTTCTTCTAGTGAGACAACAGACATTTTTCAAAACTCAGCTTAATTAATTACAACTGAGAAAATGTATGAATCAAAACGAAAATAAAAATGTATGTTTTCATCTAATTAATGTATAGTACTGAAACGGTCTCACCCATTGATGGAAGATAATAAGAGAAGAAAATAATCACAACCCATTAATTTAGTACTGAAAAATAATCTCACCCAGTGATTTAGTACTGAAATGCTATATGGTTAGTCTAGGGGGAGAAGAGAAGAAAATTTCCATCACGTAGAAGCTAGCTAGAATAATGAGTCTCCAGCAAGAAGAAAATAGAAGCCAGGATCCTGATTAGACATACTTTGTAGTTGGGACAAGTCACAAAATAGGGTTGGTGAATCCATATCCACGATTAGACCTGGCATTCGTGTCGTGTTTTTCATGTTCGTGTCGTTTTCGTGTCATACCCGATATCTTAACGGGTCGTGTCATGTAACATCCGTTAAAATAAACGGGTAAAATGACCCGACCCGAAATCGACCCAATAATATTAACAGGTAATATGACCCGACCCGTTACCCGTTAAGGAAAATATATTTTAAACCAATAAATAATCAAATGAAAAACATAATACTAAATAAGTATATACATATCATATTGTCACATCCAAAACATAAAACACAATTTTCTTTTAAGTATATTTTCACTTACCTAAAGTCTTTAATAGTTTTTTAATTAATGTAGAAGTGTAAAAAAATATAGAAAAAATATATAAACGCTCGTAATGACAAGCTTTACAACTTTCATGAAGAGCTTAACTTCGAAATTCGCCACTATAATCATATAAATCATAGATCAAAATTTAACCATTGATTGTTGTTTACATTTACGCTTCATTGTTCTCATCAAATTTTATTTTTTCAGATTTTATTTTTTGAAAACTTGATCTATTAGAGGATGCAGGAAGATGAACGGTTTGGATCGTTGATATTATATTCAGAGTTTTACGGTTAGTGAAAATATTGCTTGATGTTTATAAAGTTTCTACAAATTATATCACATCGACTCATATTTCAGTTAACTGTAAATATCGAAACGTGATATCAAAGATCTGAACCGTTCATCTTCTTACATCCGTCATATGATCATGTTTTCAAAAATGAAAATTTTAAAAATGAAATTTAGTAAGAAGAATAAAGCGTAAATGGCAATCGACGGTTAAATATAAATTTAAGGTTTATGAATTATAGTGTTGGATTTCGAAGTTGACCCCTTCATGAAAGTTGTAAAGTTTGTCACTATGAGTGATTGTATATTTTTTTTTTACATTTTTTACACTTTTACAATAATTATTATTAATTTTATTAATTTTTCCCTCAAATAAAAAACATTATTCATGAAGGTTTGGAGGATTTTAAAAATCTAAACGATAATGTAAGTGTAAATCACGAGGGTTTATATATTCTTTCACATTTTTCATATTTGTATGTATGTCTTCTTAGTTCTTGCCTATACAAATACTATATTAGTTTATTTTAATTTTGGACAACAACATGTTAAGTAAAATTTATCCTAGTAATGATAATAAGGAACTCTCATAATAAAAATAAATAATGACTACAACTTTTTTTTTTTAAAAAACTTATATAGAATAATAATACAAAACTATATATTTAATATAGAATATATTGTATATATTAATATGGCTATTGTATTTTATAAGAAATCTTTTAGTAATTAAACTTTAAAATTATCAAAATAAATTTTTTCTTAACGGGTCGAAACAGGTTACCCACATGTTACCCGCGTGTATAGGATTCTTAATGGGTCACCCGATAATGACCCGATAAGTTATCGTGTTGACCCGAAACTCGTTACTTTCGTGTCGTTTTTGTGTCGTGTCACCGTGTCGTGTCAGAAACTGCCGGGTCTATCCACGATGAATATATATGGAAGCATGCTTTCTTACAAAAATGATAGCAAAGTTTTCTTTCCATAAAAGATAAAAGTTCACCTGCATCTGATCAGGATTACGTATAAAAGAAAGAAAGTTTAAAGGAGAAGGATTATCTTCCTTCCTATTTTTTTTTGCTCTCTCTCTCCTTATTTGAACGGTTAAGTCACGTCAATATTTTATAGTGATTTTTTTATAGAGACAAAAAATAAAGTATGACAGGAGGAGATGAAAGAGGATAAGAATAAAAGGTGAGAGAATCCTATTGCAAATTTAAAAGGGAGAATGAATCAGTAAAGTGCCATTCCCACTCTTAGATAATAAAGCAATCAATGAAAGTGATATATTATCTAATATATCCAATAAAAGGTGGGGAAGAGAATATACTGAATTGGTTTAACGTAACAGTGGTGTTTCGTTCTAATAAAGCAAAGATACACGTAAAGTTTTTTAAGACTTAATGATATACTATTAAATTGAAAAGTCACATAACAATGAACTCGTTACGTGTAAGTTGAAGAACTTACAAAGTTACACTAACAAACTGAGGTTTTAATTCACTTTCACCTTACCCCTTTCATGAAAATTTTTCCCTTATACTAATTTTATTTAAAAAATAAAAATAGACTATAAATAAATAGAAAAATAAATCAAATTAAAATTTGCATTAAACATTTAAAAAAAAACAGCAAAACCTATGAATCTTCCTCTTCCCCTTGCAATTTTTTTCCCGACCACAAACCGTTTCCCCCACCAATTAACAACAACACAGTTTTTCAATAACATCAGTAAAACATAGAACAAAACTGTTTTTCCAATTACAAATTTTGATAAGGCAAGAAAAACGAATATACAAACCACACAGAAAATATGTAATTGTCTTCTACTCGAAATTTTCAGTTATGTGAAATTGCATCCACGAGGAACGATTGGGCTGTCAACAACTATTACATCAGTCATAGTGGGTTTTAAATTTGAACATAAAAAAAAGCCAAATTATAGAATTCTTCCATTCAAGCAGTGACGATTTTAAAAGCATGGTGATGGAAAAATGGAGAGGTAGATGGTCAAGTAGTGATGATGATGAGCTCTTAATTTCATGGTAATTTTAATGGGTGATTAGTCTTTAGAAAAATAGAGTGAATTAGCTTGGCTAGCCAATTTAGGTTAATAATCATGACGCCTTCTTAAAATCTCATGAGAGAGAGAGAGTTTTCGTAAATTTTGGGGTATGGTTGTTGGGAAAAAATATATGGGAGGAGGAGAAGAAGATGCCTAGGTTTTTTTTTCTTTTTCTTTTTTCGTTTTTCTCATTATTCAAAAAGGATTTTGTTTTGTAGAAAAGTAATTTAAAGGGTAAACTTGTTCTTGAGGAGTTATGTGAAAGTGAATTAAAATTTAAATGGTGTTAGTGTACGTTGTAAAATTTGAGGGAGTTTTTTGAAAAAATTGAAAACTTTGGGGAGTGTAATTAACAAGAATCATGACAGACCTGATTTTTTATTAGGATGCATTTAGTTTTCGGTTCGCATATAAATCTCCAAGGTTACCTTATTGGTCGATACTCGATACCCTAGTACATATCGAATATCATTCACGTGAGTCTGCCAACCCCAACAACTACTCAAGAAAGAAGCATAATTTTCTATGCAGTAAAAAGGATAATGCTAGGTGAGTGACCTTTTATTATAGTGATGAAAATGAGTTGAGCTTTTGTATAACGGTGTAAGTTCCAACTCCATCAGTGGCTAATTTAACACCTAATCTAACAAAATCTATCGTTTGACCAAAATAAAAAAAAAGAAAAAAAAGAAAAGATAATGCTAGCTAGGGAGATCAAAATTTTAAATCATATTGTGCAAACTAAATGATGTTGTTGATGATTGAATTATTAATTAAGTATCGATTAACGTATTTATTTCCTATTGGCTAAACATCATTGGTTTGCAAAGTTGGTTTAAATTTTTTATCTCTCTAGTATTATCCAAATTAAAAATAAAAGAAAAACAAATAGCATTAAAAGGCAATTCTTTTCTGCATTATAGGAAATTACAAAGCATTCTAAATTTTCAAGGAAATGTCGCTAAAAATGCAAAAAAAAAGAAAAAAAAAAAAAAAAAAAAAAGAAGAAGAAGAAGAAGTTATTTTGCACTTCTCAAAAGTAATTTTTTTAAATTTGGATTGCTTTTTTGGAAGGCCAATAACAGCAATTGTTTTTTAAATGAACTATTATATCACTCAAAATTTTTATAACAATATTAATCACACAAAAGCTGTTTTGAATAAGGTGATGGATAATAGTAGGCTAGAATATAAAGTTTGAAACTCGCGGTTGTAAAAAAAAAAAAAAAAAAAAAATTTAGTAAAAGTAGTGAGTGCATACAAATGGTTACCTGCAAAACCCTTTTTTAGAAATGGTGAGATGTTATTGGCAGGATTGTGATTCTAGCTAGTTGAGAGCCGGTTGAGTGCCATCGGACAATACACCCAATAACGGTGTGGAAATGGCTCCCTCCTCGATTAGCTATTGTGTGCATTTGCACGTGCAGAGTCTTTCAGTCATATTTTGATATCTGCTATTCGCTCCCACGGGTTTGGATGCAATATCAGATTATATGGATCCTACCTCAACCTCGGGCCTGTAATTACATAGATTTGTTATAAATATGAGTTAATTTACTCAATGCTGACGAGGGCAATCCTAGAATTGTGTTTTACGCATGTCCAAGTTACATTCGTTCTGGAAGAAATATATATATATATATATATATAGAACTTAAGAGCTATTAGCTATGGTGAAGTTTG